ACTATTCTTCTCTCTCTCTCTCTTCCTCTCTCTCTCTCTCTTTCTCTCTCTCTCTCTCTCATATATCTCTCTCGCATATTTCTTTGATCCATCATGATCACCTGGACCAATAGACTTCTTCCTTTTTTTATGGAATTAAGACCTCAGGTGTTGTTCTCTATAAACAGTTTTATTTTAGTTTTACAAACGTACCGAGTGGCTTGAATGAGAATGTTATCGCGAGTGAATTACAGTGATTTATCTCCTATCGTGTCACGTTCGATCGTGTTTGGAATGTCTCGCGTGAATCCTGATCTATTTATCGGGATTCGAGATTGACGTCGAAATCCAACAGTGACTATTTCCGTGCGCTTTGAAGAAGAGTAAAATCGTTCGAGGGGAACGTGAACCATCCGAACGCTCCGCGACTCGTGGAATATGCGTTCACAGATTTCTGATTTTGTAATTGCGTTCAGTGTGACGGCGATCTTTTCACATGATTTTCACAGAATTTGATACCAACGGCACTTTTCTTGACATCTTCTTAATTTACGATAGCGATAAATATTCTTCGAACAGAAATTTTAATTATAAATTTTAACTACGTGATTGTTATATTTACTTACATAACAATCACATTATTCGTTTTATTAATATCGCATCGAAGCAAATTCTCGTAAAAAATGCGAAAAAAAGGAAACTAAAAGTCTTCAAAAAGATTGGAGTCAAGTTAATTGAAAATAAAAACAGTGATTAAAGCTTATAATGCCCACGGATGAAGATAACAATTTTTCTTGTAGGAAGAGTCATGCTCCAGATGTAAGGGTGCAATTAGTTGCCTTTGACGATCAACGGGAAACCGATGAGGAGCTCACCAATCACGGACCACCCGGAATCGATCTCTCCTCTCACGTGGATGTTTTTTACGCTATCCTCGGTCAAGTGAGCGACTTTTGGCATTCGCCTCCTTTTCTCCGGTTTTTGACTTAGTGTTGATAAATAATTGATAAATATTTACGATCAAGAGAGAGTGAGTTTTCTCGCGCAATTTGTCCTTCTCGGTTAGTTTCCCTCGGACAAACACGTCGCGTTATATCGTTAACCGTCCGATTAAACTCCTCCGTCAATCAGTCGAGTCCCATAAAAGCTATTCAAAGCATTTCTTTAATCGGAAAGAGACGCCTGATGAAACGCGGCGCATCCACACAGGTCGCAGACACTCCGCAGGAGATACCCTTTCTGAGCATTCTGCAGCATCTGTTGCGGCTGGACCCGAAAGACGCCGCCAGCGATCTGGCATGGGACACCGCGGAGACTCTGGTGCATCGAGCCACGTTGCTGGAGAGTCGCGAGGATGCCACCAAGTTGCTGAGATCGCCTAGTCTTCAGGTGAGCGTTTGCATTTTTCTCTTCTCATTTACGTTCCTTAAGAAAAGGAAGGAAAAGCAACTTCGAGAATCCGCGAGGTGATGTCGCAAAATATACAAACGGTGATATTTTATGCGCAACATTTCTTCAGTCGTTTCTCAGAATTATCGGCGTGACAAGGATAATTATGCGGTCCTTCCCATGTAAGCGAGAGCCGACTGTAAATTTACCGACTCTATTCGTTACGACTACGTTTTCGACGGACTTTCGCTGATTACCTAATCGATGACGATGTTTCTGTTCAATGGAGAACGACTTACGACGCATCTGCGTTGCATCGGATTAGCTTAAATTTCGCGATCGCACCTGCGAAAACCGCCGTCAATGTCAAGCCGCGCTAACGCTGATTAACGTAACACTCGCCGTATACTTTTACTTTCTGACCGTACTTGACCGAAAGACTCAAGTCCATAAAAGAAGAAACTCGTACCACGCATCACGCTTCGTGTCGATGAATCACATGTAAACTCACTCCTTCCGTGCAACGATAATCGAGAATTTAACATGTAATTTTAATAGGTTCTCATGTGAATTAAATGGCTCATTAATAAAAATCCTCTTTTACTAAAAGAAGAAATTCTTCTTGGTTGTTTATCACTATAAACCTTAATGATGATATGTAAAAATTTTTGAACAGCAAGAAGATATCAAAATTTGAATCCGATATAATAACATACTATTCCAAAATTTTGTATAAAACTATATTTAAAGATCAAATATTAATTGAGTATAATATACTTACGCTTAGTATAATATACTTTAATAATTAATAATATTCTTAATCATAAAAGTGAAATATAATAAATTCTTACATTAAACATTATTATTTAGATAAAAAATATCAATACTTTTATTTATTTCTACATTTTTATATATTTCTTGTTCCACAAAATATATTTCTCTTGTAATCATATGTGCACAGAATAAAAAAAATATACAAATAAAAAATACATGCATTCAACAGTTTAACGTATTTGTGGAATTCAACAGACGAATCTATGCTGCCACTGTCGCGGTGCCGATCAGACGTGTGGAACGTCGCGGAAGGCGTCGCTATCGGCGAACAACAGCTCGACGACACCCTTACCACCACCGCCGCCACCCCCGGCTCCAGTGGTGCCAAATCCGCCAATCCCGCCGAGTGGCAGCGGTTTCGTTCTGCCACCACCGCCCCCACCGCCGCTTTTCGTTAATGCTACCACATCTGATGCACCGATGGAGCCGCCAATGCCACCACCCTTACGCGTGCCCACCGTCGCACGTGCACCCACCCCTGAGCCGCCCAGCAATCATGCAAAGTTGCTACCGCAACAAGAAATTCCCACCCCTAGAACAAAGATGAAAACCATCAACTGGAACAAAATACCCAATCATAAAGTATCTAAGAGAAAAATAACAGAGAATTTAAAATTAAAGAATTTTAAATGAAAGAATATTTAGAATCGTTAAAATCGCAGTAAAAATGTCTTCCTCTCTGAGGATGGTTCTTGAATTGAATAGAGAAAACCTTTAAATTCAATTAAGAGAATTCTCAAATTATCTTTTCGCTACAGGTAATTGGGAAACGGAACATTTGGTCCCTCGTCGCGAACGAGCACCAGAATTCTCCAATGGCGGATCTGGATTGGGCCGAGATGGAGGGCTTGTTCTGTCAGCAAGCACCACCGATGGTACCACCGACGACATTCTCGACTTCATGCGGTACCGGAGCCGATGTGGAACGACGTCGTCGAGAACCGACAGAGGTTGCTCTCGTTTAGACTAGTCCAGTTTTTTTTATATAATAACGAGTTTCCTCCGAGTTTACTCTCGATCGTTCTCTTTTTAATCTAGATCGCGCTACTCGACGGAAAGAGAAGCTTGAATGTTAACATCTTCCTGAAGCAGTTTCGAAGGTACGAATAAAAATAACGAAAATATTGAAGGACACTCTTTCTATGAGAAGACAATCGTCTTAAAAACTGACTAAAAGATAATATTTTGTTTTGTCATATTATTGCTGCTATCATTCGCGTATTTTTCGTCTAGCTCGAACGAGGACATAATCCAACTGATCAAGGAGGGCGGCCACGATGATATTGGCGCGGAAAAATTGCGCGGTCTTCTTAAAATATTGCCGGAGGTGGACGAGCTCGAGATGCTCAAAAGCTTCGACGGCGACAAGTCGAAGCTCGGTAACGCCGAGAAGTTTTTTCTGCAACTTATCCAAGTGCCCAAGTAATAAATTATTATATTTCGACAGAGGAGGAGAGACTGACATCTCTTCTTCTAATTAAAAATGAAATAATACAAAATAATAAGAGTAAAAATAAAGTATGTAATAATGTGAATGTACAGTTATAAGCTGCGCATCGAGTGCATGCTGCTGAAGGAGGAATTCGCCGCGAACATGAGCTACCTGGAGCCAAGTATCAACTCGATGATACTTGCCGGCGAGGACCTCATGACGAACAAACCTCTGCAGAAGGTGCTGTACATGGTTCTGGTCGCTGGTAACTTCCTCAACTCTGTACGTAATTACTCGCCGACGAACGGGAAATGAATTCTGGACGATCTTGAAATGGATAAAAAGCAAAAGTCGATGATCGCGTTGTTCGCAGGGCGGCTACGCAGGCAACGCGGCGGGTGTGAAGCTCTCCTCGCTGCAGAAGCTAACGGAAATTCGCGCGAACAAGCCAGGGATGAATCTGATACACTACGTAGCATTAGTAAGACAATGATTATGTGTAATCGCGTAAAATCAAATGTATGTTCCACGCATCTAGTTTGAAAATATTAAATGTTGCGTATACTTTAGCAAGTCGAGAGGAAACGGAAGGATTTATTAAATTTCGCGAAGGATATGACTGCCTTGGAAGCAGCGACAAAGTAAGAATTATTTTTTATGATAATAAATTATTTTTATAGTAAAAATAATTATTTTGTATCATAATACAAGTGAAGGGAATGTTATTCTCAAGTAGTTATTCTCAAGTTTTTCTTTTCAAGAACGACGATCGAACAACTGACCAACGAATTCAATAGCTTGGATACGAAGATCAAAAAGATCAAGAGCCAGATTCAGCTTTCTTCGACCGAAAGCGATATACAAAAACAGATGGCACAATTTCTTCAGGTAACGAACAACAACTCATAGATATATGTGTATTAGTTAAAAAAATTAACTTTTGGGGGAAAAAAAATGAAAAGAGAACGAAACTTTTATCTGAAATCTGCAGATGGCCGAGCAAGAAATGGCGCAGTTGAAGAGGGATATGGAGGAACTCGAGGGAGTAAGACGATCGCTGGCGGAATTCTTCTGCGAGGATACGAACACGTTCAAGATTGAAGAGTGCTTCAGGATATTCCATCAGTTTTGTCAAAAATTCAACCAGGCGGTTTCAGAGAACGAGAGACGACGCATCCAGGAGGAGCAGGTCATGGCGCGTCGCAAGCAACGCGAGGAGCAGTTGCTCGCGAGAAAACGACTGCGTGAGTATATGCGTATCTTTACGGAAACAACAACAATGTAAAAGTAGAACGATGTAAAAGTAGCCCAATTTAATTCTAGTTATTTTTTTCTTTCAATTCTTTGCTGCGATCATCCTTTTTGCGATATACTTATCTCCTAGTTTCGTAAACAGATAAATTTTTCTTATTGAGAGAGCAGTTTTTTTTTTTATGTATTTTTTGAACGCGTAAGATTTGTATTCGTTAAATATGCAGTGAGCAATCAAGCGGAGACACCAGGCTCGGAATCTGAATCTAATTTGATGGACTATGGGCTTTTTGATCTCCATACCGGTTTACCTCAGAGAAATTACAGCCGCGGCGAAGCCAAGGTAAATTTTGCCATTTATTTATTTATTTATCATCTATTTAGCATCTATATTCTGCTTCTAATATGTATCTAATGTTTGAAAAAAGCTAGTGATATTAAATTAAAAATAAACAGATGTTTCGAGATAAAAGCAAATCCTATGAATTATAGAATCCATTTTAATTAGATATTTGACTTGATTATGCGCGAAAATATTATTAGAAATTCTATGAACAGGATTAATTCTTAATTTATTCCAGATCCTTTAAATATAAAAAAAATTTGTATGAGATAATCGAATGATTTTATAAAGTTTATGAGTCATAGCTCTTTTTTGTATCAAATATGTAGATTTATTTTTCGAATCTTGAATCGTATTAAAATGAGAGGATAAAAAAATCTTCGATGATACTTGTCAAGATAAGAAGGTTGCAAGGTGGTGGAGTTACGTCGGATGAGGATGTCTCCGTTATTGGATCACCGAGCATCCGACGTCGTTTAGGATCGTGTTCCGGCGGTCCCGATCAACAATCTACCAAAGAAGACACATATTCCCCAGGTATTACACTACCAATATAATTATAAAAATCTCTTAAACAAATTGTTTTTATAATTATCCAAGTAGAAAAATATATAAGAAAATCTGGTTACTCGCTAGAAACTATTATATATGAATTTTTTTATTTTCACTTTCTATTGTCCTTTTTTTAAATCTTTTTGTGTGATATATTACTGTTATTTTCTAATGTGATATTCCACAATTTACTTCACAGATATCACGCCCAATGGCACTCTTCGTCGACGCAGGAGTAGGATACCTTGCGAGGACGACGACGGAAATCTGATGGACTTCTTACGAACATCCGGACAGGATAATACACGGGAGAGAAAATCTTGGGGAAGTTTAGGTATTGAATCACGTTTAAAATATTTTATAACTACTGCATTACTATAAAACGAAATTAAATTTTTCTTAAAAAAATCAAAGATCGTTCGTGGGCACGAAGAGCTCGCGGACAATCGCGAAGAGGTGACCTTTTAAATGCCGATTTTTCGGGAGATCGGGAACGACCCAATTCGCCGTCTCCCCTGGCGGAAAGTAAACCGTTCCTGCAAGAGGAAGAAGCGAAGCCAACCGGGTAGGTCAATGACAAATACGATTTGCATCAATTCGACAAGTCTTTGAATTGTGCTCTTATATTCAAAGAGTCAAAATTTAGAAAAAAAAAGGATACACACAAATACAAAGAAAATAAAAATTTAATGATAAGGAATTTCGAAGGAAATGGATTAATTCATTTTTATGGAAATTAGGAAAGCCTGGCGACAGAAGATCGAGGCGTGGCTGACGGAGAAGGAGGATCGTGCGGGTGAGCAGCTTCAGAGAAGAGCGAAGCAATTACACCAGGCGAACCGACGATCCTTCGAAGACTCGGGTAAGACTTGTTTTCCACAAACATCGACATAACTATATTGGTGCCGAGTTTTTAACATAAAACGATTGCAGAAAGCGAAGGTAAAAGTTGCGCGATGAACACCTTGGCGGAAGATCAATCCACCATGCACGAGGGAGGAGGATTCTCTGAAGTTTATGATTGGCGACCATCTGTCGAGAAAACAGACGTGATGCGCACGATGGAGGCCATTGAAGGTATGTCTCGGTGAATTAAGGTATTTAAATGCGGTTTGATTTTGCACCACGATTGATGAATTTAAATATTTTTTTGCTTCAGAAGTTCAACCGCTGTCGTCTCAGGACAAGTCTCCCTGGCGAAAGTCGAGCTTGAACGTACCAAATAGTATGGAAGAGACTGATCCGCGTTATTCACGTAGACTTAGGTCGAGACACAACACGGAGAATACTCTCATGCCTAGTCCACTTCAGGTAAGACTAATTTATCTATATGCAAGATTAATTTTTCAACAAATAAGTACAATAATACGAGCAATTTTTCTATGTAGATAACAAAAATCATCAGAAACTTTGAAACAAAAATTAAATTATTATATTATGATACATTCACAGGCGATCAGAGAAGAGGACAGAAAGAAAAACAAGATGAGCGACGCGATGAATTCAGACAACCAGGATGAGTTAACAATTTATCTTCGGCAGCCGTATACCGGAACACAAGCACCTGCAACTCGACGATTTTCCAAACTCAGCAGAAAAGCCACGGATGAAGAGAAAGTTAGTGATAAAATCGAGATTGATTCGGACAACATCGAGACGCCACCAGCAATTAGACGATTATTCAGTCCGCCCAAAGAGGTGAAACCTGTGGAGAAAGAACCCTGTAAGAGAGAACGTTGCAGCAGTTCCCTTCAAAGTCGAGAAACAAAGACTGCGATATTGAAATCGGTTAATCCCAGCATGGATCTTGGTACCGGTAAGCACAAAAACGATTGAAAAATGTGTACAAATAAAATTCCTGTTCTCCAATATGTGTAATATCGATTGGAAGCTTAAAAAAAAATCGCAAATAAAAAAGTTAATACACAACTTAATTTAGCTTGCAAAATATTAAATATTTCTTAGAATATTAATTCCCATTAATAAAATAATATTTTTCTCAGGTAACTTCGACAGATACTCGGCGACGCGACGGACCCGCAGGTACAAGAAAACCCAAGATCCTACGGGAGACAAAGATAAATCGGATATGTCAGGCCCCGAATTGGTCTACGATGAGAAGCCGGCGGTACAGCGGCCTAGTACCCTTGCTTTGGCTGATGAGGAGATTCGACACGAGGACGAGGACGCGGACGCCATGCTGCGAGTCTGGCAGGATAAATTGAAGCGGCGCGACACCATTTCGTCGTCGTCATTATCGCGCGACATCGATGCTGCGTTGGCAGAGATCACGCGCTCCGGCGAAGATCTTCAGCATCTGTCGCGCTCAACGTCGACGACGTCAGCAACGGTGAACCATAGGAATTCGCGACTTCCGGTCAGTCAACCACCGCCGGTGGTACCGATGACCAATACCGTGTTAAGTCCGGTGATGCAAGAGTCGCGACCGCGCGAACCCATCACGGTGCTCGCCGAACGAGCGGTGACGAGCCGCGAACGTCATCGGAGCATGATCGATCCGAGCCAAGTGAAGGAGGCGGTTCGTTTGACCAGCAACCCGCCCAGTCAAGTGAACCAGGACCAGGAAATTATCAGAGGTTTTCCGCGAAACGGAAACTCACCGCACGATTGCAAGAACGAGCAGGACAATGCGCCTAAGGTTGTGGAAGAAGAAAAACACGCGAAAAACACGCTGAAGACCGTCGACGGCATAAGAGAACTCGAAAAGGATATCCGACCCGCGGATGACTCGCGCGATCAGTCGATGACCCGGCAGAATTCCATGTTCCGCAGTCGCTTCATCCCCGACATAAGCGTGACGTCGTCGCCGCCGACGTCCGGCAAGGGTAAAGACCAGGAGCTGAACGACGAGGGCTTCGAGGAAACGCAGAGTCTCGTATCGGAGACCCTGAGCCAGGAGACATCCTCGGGCAATTACGAGACAGATACGCACGACTCGACGCGATGCTCGCCGGCGGAGCTGGGCGGTTACAGCGGTGAACAGCATCGACGTAGCGCCATCATGGTGGTACACGATGATGACCCGGATGGCCAGGGATCTTCCGTTGACAAGATGCTGAAGCCGACTTCCGCTGATGCGTACAACAAGAAGACGACCACGAGGAACGCGCCGGAGAAGTCCAGCTTCTTGCCGAAGCGCACCGCAGGCACGAAGCGCGAGTCCTCCACGCTAAGAAAAACAGAATCCTTGAAGAGAACCTTGAATGTCCTCCCGTCGGGCGGCACGGGCTCGTCGAGAAACGAGGTGCAACGTTCCAGTTCAAGAAGCAGTCTGCGTAGCTCGCGAAGTTCGCTGAACAGTGCGACGTCCGTGAACACGGTGCGAAATCTGGCCACGAATCACGCGCATCTACGAAGCTACACCTCGGCCATCCGAGCGCTGACCAACGACCTGAGGAAGAACAGTCCATCTAGCAGCTCGTTGCCATCGAAAAACGCGGTTGATAAGAGACGGCCGAGTCCTCGTCAGGTTGGCGTTAGTAGGATACCCGCCAGCAGAAGCAGCAGCAGCGGCAGCAGCGTCGGACCGGCAATCAGGAACATTCGAAAAGCACCCGAGGTTATAATTAAAGCAATTAAAATAAAATTAAAGTAAAAAAAGCTAAAAATATTATAATTAAAGCAATTTTCTAAAAATGTTAAAATTTCAGAAATGATAGAGCTTAATTTCAATCAATATAAAAAAAATTTAATCCTACGCTCCCTTGTAAAATAAAACATTTTTGTCTTATACAGATCCTTGATATAAGTTTTATGTTCACGCGTAGGTGATGTCTGGCGTGCCAAAGGTCACGAGGGGTCGACCGATCACCTCGCGCAGCAGCAGCAGCGGAAGCAGCGTCGGTCAATCTATCTTAGGGGGACGATCGCTTTCCGGTGATAAGACGTCCGCGACGAAGAGCAGACTGATGCAGCCGCGAGCCGGCTCGAAGAGTCACAGTTTTATGAGGCCTACGGCCGCTAGTGTCAACAAGGGTTCAACACCGAATTTGCCGAAGAGTATCAAAGCTATGGTCAAGTGACGAGTCCCATTGATAAGAAAAAAATAATCGTAAAGTTATCGAGAATTTTAAGTTGATGAAGACTATACATTTAACAATAGTATTAGACATAACAAATCGTAGTATTACCCGAGAGCAATCCGAATCCGGAGTCTGATAGTTGATAATAAGCTGTACTAAGGATAATGGTTTCGACAACTGCTCCTGAGAGCATTGATAACGTTATCGTAAGGTAGACCCGCAAGATTAGATAACGAAAATTGTTTTTTTTTCGCTTACTATGCCTCACGTCTCACAGTCGTTAAGCCAAAATAAATAAGACTATTATCATCTAGTTACACGCCACTATCACACCAAACAATGCAAGTCCTCAGATAAGAAGAAAATAATCAAATCTATGTCTAGTTTTATCGCGCGCGACGCCCATGTTGTGTGCCATGATCGGGAAACTTTAAGGGAAACGCCCGGTCTTTTCATGCCTGGCGCCAAATTGTGGGAGTTTTCCTTTAGTAACCTGGAGAGAACATATTTATACAAAATATATGTAATATACTCGACTAATGTGCATGTATGATATATTATATAATTCTTATTGTTATAACAAAGATAAATATATTGTAGAATATATGTCCGACAAATAAATTAACAGATTACATGACAATGCAATTCGAAATTCGATACAGAGAAACCGCGCGCGACATTTTATTAAATAAACTTACAATTAAACTATACACACACACACATACTTTACGAAAAAGAACAAAAATGAGGTTTGCTAAATAATTGCAAACACGAATAATCCGTATATTGCACTATCTTTTTTTATAGATATATATATATATATATACCGTATATATGTATACCTTACTGCACTATATTCAACAAGAAATATCTACATATTTTATGTACAAAATTGTAAATTAACGATCATTTTTATTATCCATTTTCAAATTGCATCAAAAAACCGCGCTCTCGATAGAAATGTTTAATGAGATCAACTCCCGAAATGTAATTCGGCACCGGCGCTTTCTAAAAAGCGTAATAATTCGAAAAAACTAACCTTTTTTTCGATAGTCAACGGGTTACGTTGCATAGAAATCTTTCGTACGGTAACGTAAATATAACATTCAGCCACGGCTAGTCAACCGGTGCGCGCAATCGATCAGGCAACATCAGGATCGTCTTACTTTCATCGTAAACGAAATCTCCGCAGCTTAGAAATAAATAACTATAAACCATAATTAAACTCGCTGCTTCCTACTGTGATTGATAAAGTATAATTGCCGTAAATATATGGTGTAATTTACCATGATTTTGACGCAGGTTAACTCAACCACCCCGATTGTTGATCTCGAAAGTTATACAGAACGACAAAGTTTCGACAAAGAAAATTCAAAAATCGTTAATAAATTATCAAATAAATCGACATTACACCATAAATAATTTTCCATATAACAGGCATGAGATCAACAATCGTCGATATATACATTCATTTTTATATTAACTATTAATTAGTTAGTTATCATGAATAAAACTAAGTGAGGCGGCTGAGGAACCCGCGGGCACATTTGCAATCGCATTACCACCGTTCCGTCTTTTCTATTTTAATTAATTTATTATAAATGTAGGATGTGCATGGGCTCTGTAAATTTATTTTGTTTCTCTGTACATATTGAAAAAGAAAAACTGAGAGTAGAACTGAGAATGATAGAAAATGATATGGGGCATTGCGAGCAATGTGCGTCAATGTCTTAAAAGGTAAGAAGATCCCAATCGCTTACGCTCCTACAGCTAAATATAAATATTATAACATTATGCAAGAGTAATCGAGGAACAAATACCCTCAAACGGACGAACAGAGTTCCTTTCAACGAATTAAAAGAAATATTACAAGAAATAATACATACAAGAGCGTAAAATGATAACGCTCGGAAATCAATCGATGAAAAAGAAAAACAAGCCGCGCGAATTCATGCGGTACGCGCAACGGAGCGAAGCTCCGACAATTGGGAACGATCATTCGTTCATTCGATTAACATTCATGTTGAACAGTCGCCGATGAATCGTAAATAAAAATCGTTCAAATCATCTCGACACACGATCCCGAAATCCGAGCGATACGGGACTTTGCGGCGCCAGAATAAACTCGAACTGCAAGCCGAGATCTTCCTCGACGACGATCTCAAATTCCCGTACGATCTAAATAAATAACCATCAATAGCGTAAGAACGGTCTAATTCTTTTCTCTTTATTTTTTTTTTTTTTTTTTTTTCATATTTTAGTTCAACTTGCATACCTTTGCTAGAATAAGCTGCAGCGCAAGCTCCACGAAACGTTTTCCCGGGCATATTCTTCTACCAGCTCCGAAAGGAGCCACTAACATCGGCGAGTGAGGCAGTATGGTTGATGTCTTCAACCATCTCTCTGGCAGACACTTGGACGGGTCTTTGAAATTATCATCGCTCAATCCTGCTATCCATGTATGCAATAATACCACCGTCTGCGTCAAAAAAATTGCAAGAAAAAGGAATTATTAAAATATTTCCTCGGTAACCAAATTTTTATTAAAACTTACTCCAGGATCGAGGCGATATCCTCCCAATTCTATGGACTCGTCTAATATGCGAGCTATGCAAGGTGTCGTAGGAACGATTCTGGAATAGAATATATTCCAGAATGCATAAAATTATATTTGCGCAACAGGTATTTACAGGTATTTATCATAATAAAAGGAAAATTCTCTCGTTTGTTCAGCATAAAAAATAATTTTAAGAATATTATTAATTGTTAGATAAAAACCTGAAGGATTCCATGATACATGCGCGTAGATACTTGGCCTTTCGCAAATCATCCACTGTAAGGTCGCAACCGGGTGGCGCCAAGGACTGCGCTTCGTTGTAAAGAGTTTCCTGCACTTCGGGATTACGGCCGATCAAGTTGAAAAGGAACACCAACGTGTTGCCTAGCTGCAAACGTCCAACGACTGTGTCTTTAACCCTGTAGTAGTAATCGCACGGGTTGACAATCCGAACGATACAGTGATCAAAAAAGATGATTAAGAGACCTCTAAAAGACGCCGATATCTTGAAAAGTCTCTTGATTTAAGATTGTTCTTAAGATTGATATGATCTTATAAAAAGGAAATTGCTTTCTTGAAAATAAATTATTTATCCAATATATAAATATATATTTATATTATTATAATTTAATAATAATATTATTTTAATTTTATTATTACTATAAATAATATTTTATTATATATATTTATTTTTTATTATAAAATAATTTTATTGTTCGACATATAAAAATTCAAATAATAAAATTATCAGATATCGTGATTCACTCTTGATCGAAAAATGTCTTACATTTATATATCTTCTATTTCTTATATTAATATTTGACATTCAGTTTATAAATATTCAAATTATAACACATTGTTGAGACGTAACTAACGTAATAATTCCTAAAGAACCGCGCGCCAATTACAGTTAGTACAACATGATTTTCTTACTGTGTGTATCCCCGCTGCTATAAAATCCACTATAGCAGCTTTCTTATCTCTCATATCGAGATCTTTCTGTCGCAAAATAGAGAGAAATACAGCCTCGATGGATTCGTCTCTGGCGTCGTTCTGCTTCTCTAATATCGTTGTCTCTACGAGTTCCGAGATAATGCTAAGCAAACAGAAGAAGACAACAACGATTATCGATCGTTAATTTTAAACTAAACTTTCTAAACTCGTGCATTTCAAACTATCAGATGTGATATAAATAGACAAAAAAAAAAACAATGTGATATAAATAAGCAAAAAAAAAACAATTTAAAAAAAAAATTAATCATTTATCTCAATTCATAGAAAACAAAATGCTTTGATATCGTAAGACCTCGATCTTCTGACTTTATATAAAACTCGATACATTTATTCGGAACGTAAAAATAAAGTCAACCACTCGGCAAAAGAACTCGATAGTGTTATAACTAAGCGCGTGGTGAGCAATCGACCGTTCAGTGTAACGCAGTTAATAGAAAGCGAGGACATTGATTGCAAGTGCGCGTGACGTACTTGTATATAGTGTCCTCGCTCTCTATTAGCTGCTTGTACGCGGATGTCGGTAGCAGCTTCCAAAGTGGCAGGCCGTAAAAGGCGTCGCGCGAGGCCGTGAAGTGAATCCTGACCGCTTCCGCTAATCTCGTTGTGAGCCTGCTGTTAGAATCCGGGTTTAGGAAGCCTAGGTGACGTCCCAGGATCAACGTGCACGTACCTAAGGACGAAGGAAATGATACAGCGCGTTATCATATGGCAAGACGAAAGTTGTAAACGCGTACGAGAGAAACAGTCTCGTTCTTTCTCTCTTCATCGAGCAAGAAAATAAAAACTAAAACAAGATTTTTTTTTTTTATAAACATCTCATATTTCTGCAAGGTTCAAATTCGATCCGAGAGATCATTAAAGTCGAACGAGATACGAGAGACCATAGCGATTTCTAAAAGGCGTGAAACCACATCGGCGACTTACTCTCGAGTCCCATTCTGTAAGCGAGTTCCTCGAAGCCTCTTACGGTGGAGCGGGTCGCTCTACGTTCTCGAATTAGATCGATGAATTTGTCGGTGACAATATTGAGTGCTGGGAAAAAGCCAAATACAGTACTGGCACCGGTGAGCTCCGACGTTAAGGCGGTTCGAAGCTTTTGCCATGTCACGCCTTGTCTGTTAAAGTTATTATCTAATTACTCAATTATTCTCGCACATCCAAAAATTCTGCACGACCCTTATCTTGATAACCAATACTATCTCTTATCTCTTATTTTTGTCCGTTACATCTATATTTAAAAAATCAATCTAAACAAAATATAATTGCAATCTTTTAATCTTCCTCTTTTTCTGAACAGAGAAGTCTTAAGAAAAAAAAAAAAAAAATTTACTACGTAATGCAATACGTTAATAAATGTAAGAAGATCCACGCGGTATTAATTAATGTCATACGGTATGAGTGTATCCAGAATTTTTTTTTCAGAACAGGAGGATTTTATCAATTCTATTAACATAAACAGTAATTTTTTGTCGTTAATAAATTATTTTCTTGGATGGTTTAGCCCATCTCCTCTCCTCTTTCCTGATTTGCAATGAGAAAAATATTAGATTTTATAAATCATAACTTTAATTTTCTTTCCAATTTTGAGGGGGTTGGGGAACCCCCAACCCTCCCGGATACGCCCATGGCGTATGGTACGTAGAGATCGCGCGCGGAATGGACCGCTAACGTCCACCACGATCGTTCGGTAAACGCGTAGGTTCGGGGTACCGAACCGAAATTATACGAGGCGACCTTAAACTTGACCTCGATACCGGCGCGGCGCGGCGCGGCGCGGCGTGGCGGCGCGTAATCGGCGAGCGCGCCGACCGCGGCGGGCTACTCACTCATTGACCAGACCAAGGTTGGTGTAACGATCGCGCCGGGAGCGCCGGTAGTGGGATATGACCTCCTGCGGAGGACGAAGCGGATACCTCGAGCTCCGTTTGATGACAGCCTCAATGTCGCGACGGGAGAACACGGAGACCACGGGGCAGTTCCACAGCGCCTCCTCCTTGCACAGCGGCCCGTATCGCCGATTCAGATCTACTCTTGAATCATGGGATAACGAGCCATGTTAAAATACCGTATACCCGTATGTCCGGGCGTGTCGTAACGGGGCAGATATCCGGATCTCCGGCGGGGGCGACTCTCCGCCTCGATCGCGGCTCTCCCGGACGGACGGGTGCCGGTAAAAGAAAAAAAAACAGAACGCACTCTCTCTTTCTTGGTTCAACGTACTTACTTTCCGCGAGGATCTACCACGCGAGAGGAAAGTAATCCGACCGAATGACACGCGTTTCGAGAAGATGAGAAGATACGAGCGGATTTTAATAACGAAAGATTCTGCCGTCGACTCGAAGGTACAATTATCATTATGCCGACAAGTAATATTTAATGATATCCACGACATTATAAATAATAAGTAATTATAAGTAATGTCATAAATAATTTGCTTGTAAAATCAACGTGTGTATAAATTTTCTTTCTTACGGATTTACTCGACATGACACGAGCAACTTTAAATACAATGACATAAGCAGCTTTTTGCCAAAGGCTCCACCGTATTTTTCTGCCTCTCTCGCAATTACGGCGACTCACCACGATAAGATTGGAGTATCTTTGACCCTGACCCTCTGAGAAGACACGCCCCCGCCTTCCCCCTCGTCCCGATTTAATCGCGCGAGCTTTTTACGGGCCCGCGTATAATCAAAGGCTCGGTTAATCGAAATTGTTAATCGACTATTATACGAGTCGAGGCATTATTAGCACATAATGAACCGTATTCACACGCGTTATTCCCTTTCTCCTCCTCTTCCTCCTTCTCCTCCTCCTCCTCCTCCTCCTCCTCCTCCTCCTCCACCTCTTCCTTCTCTCTCCGTGTCGTTCGTTCTATCGCGCAACCTTGAGATATCATTAGCACCAGAGAAGAGAGTCTAACGCCGCGTGTTCAACAGCCGATGAACTTAACACGCCGCGATAAGGGCCAAACTTCTTACCTTTGTACGCCTCGTGGATCTTATTTAACCGATAATAACCGAAGCAAGAATATATCCACCTAGTGCCTAAAATTGGTAGGGCGAAAGGACCCGGTACGTCACGCGCCGTCTTGAACTTCCTGCCGTGGTCACCTGTATCTGCGGAAAGATCATGGATTTTTAAATGAAAAAAAAATTTGCAAAAGAATATCTAAGTAAGAAGTATGCAAGAATAATGCTCAGATCCCGAGTTTTATTTCTTCGATAATTTAAAACTTTATTTATTAAATGACTTTTCTGATTAAGACTCTTCTTTGAAAAGGCTTTCAAGTGCGGCTCGTGACATTGCTCTATAATATTATCGACTAGAAAACGATCCTCTCTTAACTTGAATCTAACGTTCGGCAAATGTACAATACTCGGTAGCGATAAAAATGACAGCTGAGAAAGAAGACAAACACAGGCGGTATCATTGACCGATATCGCGGGTGTCAAGGGTTGAACTGAGATCCGCAGATCGGGGATCTGCGCGACTTACCGGCGTTTGCGTTGTAGTTCCTGGTCCAGAACCACCAGGGTGGCCAGTAGCCAGTAGCCAACACCAGGATCGCGAGCAGCGCCGCTGCGATGGTCTCGAACCACGCTCCGGACAGCAACATCCTCCAGTTGAATCCCTGCGGCCAGGCGGATTAAACAGAGGAGGGAAGGACTCTCTTCCCGACGCGATCGCGGGATCGATTCCGTTTCCTAGCTCGCGCGAGAAGCGCGGGAGCGCGAAAATAAATTTCTTTCTTATCGTGCCAACAAACGTGCGGGCGACGCGGGGCGATTATCTCGGCGCGAAACGACGCTCGTGTCTCTTCTCCCGCGGGTACGTCGGTCGAAATATGTAGTTACGACTACGACTGGCGCCCCGTATCTTCTCGCGCTCTTCTCGAACGGGTTTTGAGTCATTATTTGGACGCCCCACGTCGCACCGATCGACGATTCCGATTTGAGGATGCGAGTTGGTTTCGGGAGTTTTGACTTTCGGAGA